CGAGCGGAGTCTGGAGGGCTGAGGAAATTCTGGGTCTTTTTTTTTTTCTCCAATCCTAGACTGACCACCATTAGGAGCCGCATTTACTTTTTTTCTCTAAGCAAGTTGAAGCTTTTAAGCGGGATAAAGACTTTCAAGGCACTAATTGAACATAAATATTCGATTCCACGTTAGATACAGTGAAGTTTAAACTCGGCGCTGGGATAAACCGGTGCCTCATTTTATACTCTGCCTCACTTATTCCCGAACACGTGGCTTTCCTGACCCCTATCCTGAAGCCCAGCTTGTGCTTTCACTGTGACCTTGACAAGGCACCCAGAGGCACCAGCAACAAGCCTTGTTTGCCTGGAAAATACTCTACTGCCTGTCTAACCTAATAAATGACTTGAACTCAAAGAGGTCTTTACATTGCATTTTAAGCATTCACTATTTTAGTCTCAAATATTAAACTGTATTGATAAAGGTGCACTGGACATTATCACCAGGTTTCTGGGATTTTCTTTTTTAATAACAGTTTTATTGAGATATAATTTACCTGTCATACACTTCACTCATTTAGTGCATGGTTCTGCGGGTTGTTCTATTTGGAGGTATGCAACATCACCACAAATTCTAGAATTTTCACCCCCCTCAAAACCTAGTACCCATTAGAAATCACTCTCCATGCCCCTCCCTTCACCTGGTCACTAGGCCTAGGCAATTACCAATTTACTGCACATTTCGGATAAATGGAATCATATAAAGTGTGGACATAGGCTTTCATTTGCCTTGGGTGTATACTGGGTGTAGGATTTTTGGGCTGCACGGTAAATCTAAATTTAACCTCTAGAGAAACTACTACTGTTTTCCACAGTGACTGCACAATTTGACATTCCCACCAGCAGTGCATGAGTATTCCAGTTTCTCCCTATCCTCCCCAATACTTTTACTGGCTAATTTTTTGATTATACCATTCTAGTGGGTGTACGGTGGTAACTCATGGTTTGGATTTGCATTTCCCTGATGGCTAATGATAGTGAGCATCTTGTCACGCACCTATGTGTGTAACTTCTTTGAAGTAATGTCTGTTCCAGGCTTTTGCCCACTTTTTAAATTGGGTATTTGCCTTTTGATTATTGAGAGGTCAGAATTTTGTATATATTGTGGATACAAATCTCCTATTAGATATGTGACTAGCAAATAGTTCCTCTCAGTTCAGGGGCTGTCTTTTCACTTTCTTGACAAAGTCTTTGGCAGAACATCCATGCCATTTTGACATAGGCAGGACAGGACTTAACTTATAAAGCAATAGTTCAGCTTCTTTTCATTTTCCAGTAATAATACATCCCATTGCCTACTCTTCAAAAAAAAAAATGAAAGTGCCCATATAAATTCTGTATTGGCTCTAGGTAGAAATCGGGAACTTCCAGACTGGCATCCATATGAAAAATGGATTCTGAGATCCATTGAGAGCACACAGATGAGAGCAGAGAAAACTTCTGACACCTCTATCCTAAGACTTTCTTTAAACAAGATGCTATATAAAGGTACATATGTTCTTTATAATCTTGTAATGCACAATAGTAGTAATTTTCCTAATATTCCTACTCATCTGAAATTACTCCAGTGACTGGCACAACCTTTTGAAGGGCAAAGTTGCCCATTTGCAAATCCCCTGCCAGCATCTTACTGTTGTTACCATCTCCCCAAATTCTTCTTAGCTCTCTCTGGGGCCTTGCTGATTAAAACACACAGGAGTTGTGACCTGTGGCTTGAATACAGTAATACTTTCCTGTAGATACAAACCCTGCAGAGTAAAGATGATAGTATTTACCAGCCATTGAGTGCCTTCCTCCAAACTGGCACACACAAATTATCTTCCCATTGTCCCAGGCCACATGTAAACCTGAAGCAGGCCCCCAACGTCCTTCTTTTTCGTTTTCCCATTTTTTTTTATTGATGCATTTTAGGTGTACAGTACAGTTATATTCATCATTGGGACCTTGTAGCTATAGATGATATATCTTGGTTCCTATATTTTCCCCATTCCCCTGCCCTCCATTCACCCCCTCCACCGTTCCCTATTTACAGAGACTTTGTTTCCTTTTTTTTCCTTTTCTCTTATTTTTTCTTCTCCCTTCTTAGCTTTCCTCTACTCCTCCCACTTCCCCTACACATTTAGACATTTTTCCTATTATACAATATCAATGATATATTTTGATACTCATTTGTACTTTTAGTTTATCACACCAGAGAAACTATTCGGTATTTACACATGTGTGTCCTATGAATTTCACATAAGCGTATGTCCTCAATGTGCATCCACTTAGCTAAAAATGTCTCTAATTTCTCATTCTTTATGGCTGAGTAGTAGTACTTTACTTTATAAAAAACCACATCTCCTTGATCCAGTCTCCAGTTGATGGGCAATTGGGTTGTTTCCAAGTTTTACTATTAAAAACTGTGCCTCTATAAACATGGGTGAGTATACATCACCGAGGTATGATTCTTATAATTCTTTTGGAAAGATACCCAGCAGGGGAATGGCTGGGTCAGGTGGGACTTCTAATCCTAGTTGTTTGAGGTATCTCCATATTGATTTCCACAGTCGTTGCACCAGTCGGTACTCCCACCAACAACGAAGAAGTGTTCCTTTCTCTGCACAACCCCACCAGCATTTGTTATTGGTTGATTTCTTGATAGCAGCCATTCTTTCTGGGGTGAGGTGAAATCTCAGTGTTGTTTTCATCTGCATCTCTCGAATGACCAGTGATGTTGAACATTTTCTCATATGTTTATTTGCTGCTTTTACTTCTTTGCTTGAGAAATGTCTGTTCATTTCAGATACCCATTTTTGAATTGGGTTTACAAGTTTGGGGGGACTGTTTTTTTTTTTTTTTTGAGTTCTTTATATATTCTGGATAGTAGACCTTTGAGGAACAGCTAGCAAAAAAATTTTCCCACATGGTAGGTTGTCTCTTAGCTCTGTTGGTGGCTTCTCTTGCAGTGCAGACGCTTTTTAAAAAGAAGATATCCCAGTTGTTGATTCTTTGTGCAAGTTTCAGTGCTACTGAAGGTTTGTTCATAAAGTCTTTTCCTATGCTAACGTCTTCAAGAGTTCTACCTAACTCATCTACCAGCAAATTTAGTGTTTGTGTTTTAATATTTAAATCTCTGATCCACTTGGATTTTAGTTTAGTGCATGGTGAAAGATAGGGGTCTAGTTTTAATCTTTGGAAAGTTGAAATCCACTTTTCCCAGCACCATTTATTAAAGAGGATATCTTTCCTCCAGTTAGGATGGTTGGCTCCTTTGTCAAAGATGAGGTAGCTAAGTATGTCTGCAATTGTTTCTGCATCTTCTAATCTATTCCACTGATCCTCAGGTCTGTTTCTTTGCCAGCACCATGCTGTTTTTATCACAGTGGCTTTGTAGTATAGTTTCAAGTTGGGACTTTTGATACCCGCTGCCATGTCTCTGTTGCCTAAAATTGCGTTTGCTATTCTAGGACTCTTCTGGTTCCAAATGAATTTTTGGATTGTTTTCTCTAGTCCGGTGAAATATACTGTTGGGATTTCAATTGGGATTGCAATGAATCTGTATTGCAGTTTTGGAAGTATGGCCATTTTCACTATATTGGTTCTTCCTACCAAGGAACAAGGGATGTCGTTCCGCTTTCTTATGTCCTCTTCAATCTCTTTTTTCAGAGTGTTGTAATTCTCAATGTAGAGGTCTTTTACTTCCTATGTTAGATTGATTCCTAGATATTTCATTTTTTGGATGCTATTGTGAAAGGGACTGTTTCTTTAATTTCTCTCTCAGTGATTTCTGACATTTGTGTACAAGAAGGCAATTGATTTTTGAGTGTTGACCTTGTATCCAGCTACTCTACTGACTCTGTCAATTAAGTCTAGAAGTCCTTTGGTGTACTTTTCTGGGTTTTCTATGTAGAGTAGCATATTATCAGCAATAATGACAGTTTAACGTCTTCCTTTCCTATCTTTAGTGCTTTTATTTTTTTCTCTTGTCTAATTGCTGTGGCTAATGTTTCCAAAACTATATTGAACAGGAGTGGTGATAGTGGACATCCTTGTCTCATTCCTGATTTTAGCATGAAGGTTTGCACTTTTTGGCCATTTAGAATCATATTGGCTGTTGGTTTTTCATAGATAGCCTTTATCAGGTTGAGATAAAGACCATCTATTCCAATTTTCTGCAGGGTTTTAATCAGGTGATCATATAGTCTTTGTCTTTGACTCTGTTAATATAGTGTATTACATTTATTGATTTACATATGTTGAACCATCCTTGCATCATTGGGATAAATCCACCTTGATCAGGGTGTATGATCTTCTTGATGACCCTCTGTATTCTGTTAGCCAGTATCTTATTGAGGATTTTTGCATCTATGTTCTGTTCATTAGTGAGATTGGCCTGTAGTTCTCTTTCTTGGTTGGGTCTTTCCCTGGTTTGGGAATCAAAGTAACACTTGCTTCTAGAAATGAATTTGGAAGTATCACTTCCCTCCCAATTTCACTGAAAACTTT